AGGCCTCTGAAGTGAGGCGGAATTAAGGCCTCTGAAGCGAGGGTTTACCCGCCCCCCCACCCCCACTTGGCAGCCCTAACTGCTGACATTGAGAAGTCCTTCTGCACCGCCTAGTTCCCCCAGCTGCTTGAACATGCCGGGGGTGGGTTGGAGACTCCCTAAGGAAAACAAGGGTAAAACGGCCAGTTGCCAACTCTCCAGGGGAGCCCCGGAGATTGCCAGGAAACCCCGAGATGGGTTCCTAGCGACATCAGAGGGAGGTTAGGAGGCTGCCCCGCCTAACCAGAGCCCAAGACAGGGACAGTGGTGGCAGCAATACCCGGAGGCAGTGGTGAAAAACTGCCCCTTCAGGTACCAGGGCAGGCAAAGGAGGGGTGGGCAGATTGGGGTCTGCCAGCTGACGCGGGCCCATTCCGTCACGGCCTTTATGTTTTTTGCTATATGCTCCTCATATTTCCTTTTAGCCTGCCTGATCACAGACTTGCATTTTATTTGCCAAAGCCTGTGTTCCCTTTTATCAACCTCACTGGTCCTGGAAGGTGAGTAGAGCTAGATCAAAGGCATAAAGTTCCAGGCAGGTGAGATTCCCGAGACCCCATCCCTTGGGTGACATGGTGCTTTAAGGCTGCTCTGATGCCTAGCAGGTTACTTTCTATGAGTGGTAAAAGACCTGTTCCCTGTGACAGAGGGTGTTGCCACATGGGATATTTGTCCTGAGTTTGATGCTGTTTGGAAGAATCTCCCCATCCCCCCCCCCCCCCCCCACTTTCCCAGAGTAATATGGAACATTTGTACATCTCCTTGGGGTTTCATGGCTTTTCTTCAATCTTTCCCAAACCTGCTTTGCTTCAAATTTTGGGGGGAAATAGCAGCAAAGCCTGGGTGGCTGCCATGCAAATGGGAAAGTTCAGATTTTCCTGGTTCCACCCACACAGCAGCCATTTTCCCCACAGTTGCTATTTCCTCTCCCTACTGCAGATGGGTTTTCCTTTCGTTTAAATTGGTGATTTAATAGCATAAGCCCAAATATGCACCTGGTTCTCTGAATTCCCAGCTTTAATTTTTTTTTAAATTAAGTCTCTAGCCCCCTTTTTGCAGACATATGTGCAAAAAAGCATATCACTGAAACAAAATGGGCTAGAGACTTACTTTAAAAAAAAAGAAAGTTGTGAACTCAGAGGATCTGATATGCTGATTTAAAAGCAACACCAAACCTACCAGGGAAACCGTCCTCCCACACTGTATTAGCAGCTGCAGCAGCAACAGGGAAACTACATAAGCCTGTCCCCATATGCAAAACACCATATCCTCTGAGCCAACCATAGCAAAGCAAGACAGGAAATCCTTGGAGATGGGTTGGAATAATGATGCAGGACTAGAGCAGCATCCTCTGATGGGATCTAATGTGAAGACGTGACAGTTCTAAAAATCGTCACGAGTTCACACTAGATCCCATCTGCTTCCTCACTTTTTCTTTTAGGCAGCGATCTGAGGTCTTCCTTGGCCATTCATCCAAGACGGGTCATTTTGTACTGCATGACCTCCAGGACTATTCTGAAGGGCTCCAGGCATTATGCTGAGCTGAGAGAACTCATCCCTGTTGACAAGCACACTCCGTCCTGGAGGAAGACAGAGAGACCTGTACATCCGTCAGGCCTTGAATGCTCCTGTAGGGGGAATGGACAGGATGTAATCCAGAAAAGGGCCAGCACTACCTTGATCACAACTGTGTGGGAATTGAGAACAGCCTGAATGGCAAAACTCTACTTTGGAAATGAAGGTTGTAATGGGAGAAGTGCAGCTTTTCCCTTGGCTGACTACAAATTGGAACATGCAGATAATCCCTGGAAGCACACAAACCTCATTGATTTAGTGCCTCTGCAGTAAGCATTTGCATCCCGAAACACTTCACCAAATAAATCGCTCAGCCACATCAGATTTGCAATGGAGCACACATCCCAGGGGAAAAAAATAGAATAAACCCTGGTCCTGTGGAGCAGGTTCCATTACTGAATACACAATGGATGCTGGACCACTTGAATGAACAGCTGGTGTTCCTGGGAATCCCTGGAGCTGGGTGAGGCAACAAGCTCCGGGGCATTTGTTGGACAATGTCACCCTTGTCCACACGCCTATGCTGGCCAGTCACCAACTGCTGGAAACAAACCCCTAGTTCTGCTTCTTTGATCCCTTGGAGAAAGAGTAGAGTCCCTGAAAGCTACTCTTCTTTTATCTACGAAGGCTTTGAGTGGTGCAACTTGACCTGGGATCTGCTAAACTCACAGGCTATTTGTATGGAGAAAACGTGGAGTCCTCTTTCTTAGCAGTAGACAAGCTTCGCTTCCAGACAGGCCTATTTGCTGCGGTTTCCCAAAGAGCCTAAGCCTGCAAGAATATACTGGCAGGATGAGTCTAGAGCTCTGGGTCCATCTCCCAATGGCACATCCAAGTATTCCTCACAGCCAACAGATCATTTGCCACAGCTCTGGATTCAGACTTGACAGCATCCAGAGAGGAGCAGGCTACAAAGACACATTTTCTGGCAACTATCCTTAAAGGGGGAGAAAGGGATAAAAGGAAACAGATGGGGGGGTGTCTATATTTTAACCTAACTAACTAGGGTAAGAATCATAGAATTGGAAGGGACATCCAGGGTCATCTAGTCCAACCCCCTGCACAATGCAGGAAATTCACATATCTCCCCCCCACACACACACACCCAGTGACCCCCTGCTCCATGCCCAGAAGATGGCAAAAACAAAAAACAGAAAAAACCCTCCAGGATCTCCAGCCAAACTGGCCTGGAGAAAATTGCTTCCTGACCCCAAAGTGGTGATCAGCATTTCCCGGGCATGTAAGAAAGGGCCACAAGAGCTGAGCATTGGCTCATCGCTTCCTGCCCTCCCTCTCACGATCTGCCTAAATTCACAGAATCCGCATTGCTGTCAGATGGCCATCTAGCCTCTGCTTCAAAACCTCCAAAGAAGGAGAGCCCACCACCTCCCGAGGAAGCCTGTTCCACTGAGGAACCACTCAACCTGTGAGGAAGTTCTTCCTAATGTTTAGCCGAAAACTCTTCTGATTTAATTTCAACCTGTTGGTTCTGGTCCAACCTTCTGGGGCAACAGAAAACAACTCTGCACCATCCTCCATATGACAGCCCTTCAAGTACCTGAAGATGGTTATCATATCACTTCTCAGTCATCTCCTCTCCAGGCTCCCAGCTCCTTCAGCCTTTCCTCATAGGACTTGGTCTCCAGACCCCTCATCCATCTTTGTTGCCCTCCTCTGGACATGTTCCAGCTTGTCTATATCCTTCTTAAATTGTGGTGCCCAAAACTGAACACAGTACCCTAGGTGAGATCTAACCAGAGCAGAGTAAAGCGATACAATCACTTCACGTGATCTGGACACTATACTTCTGTTGATACAGCCCAAAGCCTCATTTGCCTTTTTAGCTACTGCATCACACTGCTGACTCATGTTTAGTGTATGGTCTACTAAGACCACTAGATCCTTTATGCACATTCTACTGCCAAGACAAATCTCCCCCATCCTATAATTATGCATTTGATTTTTCCTACCTAAATGCAGAACTTTACATTTATCCCCACTGAAATTGATTTTATTTGTTTTAGCCCCATTTTCCAGCCTGTCAAAATCATCCTGTATCCTGACTCTGTCTTCTATCATATTTGCTACCCCTCCCAATTTAGTGTCATCTGCAAATTTAATAAGCATTCCCTCTATTCTTTCATCTAAATCATTGATAAAGATGTTGAATAAAATAGGTCCCAGGACAGGTCCCTGAGGCACTCCACTTGTCACTCCTCTCCAAGAGGATGAGGAACCATTCACAAGCACTCTTTGGGTGTGATCTGTCAGCCAGTTACAGATCCACCTGACAGTCATAGAATCCAAACCACATTTTACCAACTTGTCAACAAGAATATTATGTGGAACCTTACCAAAAGCCTTCCTGAAATCAAGATAAACCATGTCTACAGCATTCCCCTGATCCAGCAAGGTAGTAACTTTCTCAAAAAAAGAGATAAGGTTAGTCTGACATGACTTGTTCTTGAGAAACCCATGCTGGCTCTTAGTAATCACAGCTGTCCTTTCTAAGTGCTCAAGGACCGACTGTTTGATGATTTGTTCTAAAACTTTTCCAGGTATAGACATTGAGCTGACAGGCTGGTAGTTACCCAGATCCTTCCTTTTCTCTTCTTGAAGATGGGGACAACATTTGCCCACCTCCCATCTTCTGGTACCTCATCTGTTCTCCAAGAATTCTCAAAAATAATGGACAGAGGTTCATAGATTACATCCCTGAGCAGTAGGCTTGGAACAGATAAAAGGAAGTACTTCTTCACCCAAAGAATAATTAACATATGGAATTCACTGCCGCAGGAAGTAGTGGCAGCTACGAGCACAGACCCCTTCCAGAGGGGATTGGATAAACATACGGAGCAGAGGTCCATCAGTGGCTATTAGCCAGAAGGTGTAGATGGAACACTATGTCTGAGGCAATGATGCTGTGTACCCTTGGTTCTTGGGGGACAACAGTGAGAGGGCTTCTGGAGTTCTGGCTCTGCTGGTAGACCTCCTGATGGCACCTGGGTTTTGGCTACTGTGTGATGCAGAGTGTTGGACTGGATGGGCCATTGGCCTGATCCAATGTGGCTTCTCTCTTATGTTCTTATGACAGCAGTGCTGTGCTAGATGGAGCTGTGCTCTGACTGGGGAGAAGGCTCTGGCTGCAGGTCCAGCCCCCAATTCAGGGCCTACAGTTGCAGAGCACCCCCCCCCCAGCTAAATTCAGTGCGCACACCCCCTCGCCCCGGCCAGACTGTACAAGCCCCAGAATCCCTAATGGCTGCACTGCAGGTGCTGCATCCCACCCTCTCTGTGCCTCTCTGGCACCCAAGCAAACTGTAGCTGCCCTCAGGCTAGCCCTGCCCTGTGCCCCACACTGTACACCCCCTGAACAGAAGGCTTACCGGAGCTCCTTTCTCACCGGCAGGGCCGGGTGGCCCCTGGGGGCCAGGCCGCCCTGGGAGACCAATTGGGCCAGCTGCTCCAGCGGGGCCTCGCTCACCAGGAGAGCCCTGCAAGGAAAGACGACAGTGAGAATACGGGGGGGGGGAGCTCAATAACTGGATCATGCCCGCAAGGAGGGTGGAAAGGGGGTGCTACCTCCAGAGAGACCTTCTTCTAGCCACAGGGGACAGCAGGGAGGAGAGGGCCCTGTGGAAAATCCAGTCTCTTGTTTGTGTTCTCAGCTCCAACATTTATGGAATACGAGCACTGGCTGCGCCACAGAGAAATAGTGGTTTTCCCATGGTTTCCATTGGATTATCCTGAGAACCCTTTTGTTAGCGATCCTGGCCGGGGGGGCCGCCCCCAAAGAGGCCCTCCTCTCTCGTGTGCCCGCCCGGACCAGCTTCTCCGATGGGTGGGACAGCCGGGAGGGCTCCTCCCCGTGATCTCAATTCCCAGGCAGACTCCCCGGGTCGCAAGCCAGAAGGGGTGGGGAGGCAGGAGATCGAGCGTGAAGATTCTAGGCAAGAAAGGCTTTGACTTACTGCTGGGCCAGGAGGGCCGGGCGGACCTTCGCTACCCTTCAGGCCCACAGGTCCCTGCAGGGCACAAAGGGACAGAGAAAGAGGTCACCATCCAGTTACAGAAAAGAAACACAAAAAGCATTGCAGAAAGAGGTGCTGCTAACAGGATCCATTTAAGAAACCTTGACTTACAATGGGACCCGGAAGACCTCTGTCGCCAGGGAACCCTCTCAGACCAGGCGGGCCGTCTTTCCCTGGAAGGCCTGTGGGGCCGGGGTCACCCTGCAATGACAAGTTCCCAGTTCAGATTCAGCGGATGCAGCGGACGCTTCATGGCCACCCAAAGCCCACCGGCGCATGGATTTCCTAATGACACTTATTTGATTTCTATTCCACTTTCTGGCTGAAGACCAACAAATGGATCACGGAATAAGTATAAGATACAAATCTGAGTTAAAACTTCCCCAATTCCACTTTAAAACAACATGTAATTTAAAAGAACAGCCCCCCAACAGTTCAAGCTAAAAAGAAGAACTTCCACAGCAGTTTGAACAGTGTGTTTCTGAAGAAAGGAAACCTCCCCAGTCAGGGGAAAGCCCTTTAAGTTAACAGGGGCCTAATCTTTGCTTTGACATTGCGCGATCTAAGCACCAATCTTTCTGGCTTCTCCTAAGAGACGGAGAAGTCTCTTAAGGGAAAGGAAGAAGGAACTATCGTCTAGCATTATTCTGTGGCTCAGTACCCAGTCTACCAAATAGGACGGCTCAGGTTGTAAAAACTCATGCCTTATTATTGAACGGTGCTTCCACTCTGCTTTTGAAATACCTTCCCTTAACTACAAGCAGTTCCTGGGGTCCCAAACACTTTGCTGATGAAAGCATTCACAGACAGACAGACAGACAGACAGACAGACAGACACACACACACACCTTCGTGCCTTCCTTTCCAGCCAGCCCAGGAAGTCCCTGTTCACCTGGTGGGCCTGGAGGCCCCGGATGGCCGCGTTCCCCCATTGGACCCGTCTCTCCAGTGGGACCCTGCAAGGAAGTAGGAAGAGGGGAGCAGAAGGGCGGGAGGGATCAGACACCTTCTGAACAGTATCCTGGACCACCCAGAGCAAATCCGGAGACAGGCCAAAAGGAGAGTGCAATCTGCGTCTACCAACAAAGTTTTCAGGTGCCAAAAACCTTCCATCAGATACTCTTCTTAGGATAAGGGAGAAGTTCCATTTTGCTTGCAGAAAACTGCAGCCATGCAGATAATATCCATTTTGCCAAGCAGGAGGCATGTCAGTGAAGAACAGACGTAACTCAATCCATGGCGCCCTGGATGGTGATTCACATTAACTGCTGTGTGAGGTAACAATGAAGCCACCCTGGTCTCTGTTGTACCCAAACCTGGCAGGGGGGCTGGGTACACTCAGGCACGGAGAATCGGTAAAGGGGTGTGTATCTCAGAATTTCAGAGAAAATTCTTGAGTGAGTTTCCTGGCGACTGGGGCAATGTGCAGCTTCTGAAAGCAGGCCTGCCCAGGAGTCCTGTCGTCTACGCTGGGCTGCGACTCCCCCCCCCCCTCATTCTCTGGCTGCAGCGGCAGAGTGAGGAGGGAGAAAAGCACTCTGTACGCACTCAGGGCTTCTTCCCTTTAATTCCTGTTCCTTGAAAACAACGGGCAGGACCATAAATGGGAAGGAAGGTATTTGGACAGCTACAGGCAGCAGCTGCGGACACAATCAAGAGAGTCTGTGAGAGATTCCTCTGCTCCTTGCTCTGTCATTCTCTAGTGTTTGAAGCCCTACAAAAAAACCCCTCTTTGCTCAGAGATGACAGAGGGACAGTACTGAAAAAGGGCCCATCAGCCCTTCACTGTGTTGTTATCGTAAACACAAGCTCTTTAGCACCTTTTTTTGCTAAGTGCATTCACACCCCTTAAGGAGCAAAAGGCACCTCATAAGCAGCAGGGGAGTGTCAGGATTGGGCCGGGAAGCTCTCCGAAGGGTGCTGTCGCAGGCCCTGCCCTTGGGGGATGACGTGGTGACTGTTTGGCACAGGGAGGGGCGAATGGTACAGCCGCTGCCTGGAACAGCCGTTCTCAAGGCACAGGTGGCTGCAGTCGGGACACGTGGCTCAGCAACACTGCAAAACTCTCTACCCTGCTGGCCAGGCAGAGCCAGGCAAAGAGGCAAAAGGAGCCAACTGGCGGGCTTGGGACCGAGTGGGACATGTCCAGCAGCTGCCTCCTCTCCCCTACAGACTCAGAGGCTGGAGATCCGTGGCAAAAGAGGAAAGCTGCGCAAGGGGTCCTGTGATGCCCCAGCCCTCCTATGATCTGCCTCCACCCCCACCCCAAGCAGGAGCAGCAGAAAAGCAGCTTCTGGCACAAGGGTATGAGAGAGGCAGGCAGGCAGACACCCACTCTGCACGAGCCACTGGAGGCGCCAGAGGAAGGAGGCGCAGGGCTACTGCTCTCCCACATTCCAGCCTGGCGCCAACCCCTGACACCCCACTGGCCAATCCTAGCTGTAATCATTGGGGTGGACCTCGCCAATCCCCCAGGACCCTCCCTCCAACTCGAATGGCCCCTCTGTTGGCTGCTGCAAGGCTTTGCTCAGTGGATGGAGGGAAGGATGGATGGATGGGGAGGGCAGGGGCGGGGCCCTCCTCCTCTCCGGGGCCAGGGGCAGATCCTTGCCTGGGCAGCGGCCAGAGTCCAGGCTGACTCGTGAGGCTCCCCAGGCTTGCTGCAGCCGCCTCTGTCCGCTCCACGTGGCCATCCTTCCCCCTGCTGCACGCCTCTCCAGTCCAGCGGGGCTTCAGCTGCATTTCTGGCTCCGGCCGGGCCCAGCCCTCGGCCCCCTCCCCCCGCCTGGGGCGCCTGCCCGCCTCCCGCTGCCCTCGGCCCAGGTCTGAGTGAGAGCTTATACGTTAACGAAAAGCGAGCAGGTTGCCCGGAGAATGCCTTGGCAACACCCTTGCATCGGAACATCACACTAATTACATTTTAGCATTTCCAAACATAATTACCAAACAGTCGACTTGTGCGCCTCAGAAGGCAGACGTAAACACGTATTTACCCTGCAATACAGAATTTACTCTGCCATTAATCTGACAGGGCCGGCTAATTAGGAGGTAATGGGATAGTTGGCTGTTTCCCCATACAGCAGAAAGGAGGAAGCAGACAATCCCGCCAGGGAGGCTTCTGGGAGCACCTACCTGCGGCCCAACAACTCCCGGAGGCCCAGGGGGACCCGTCTTGCCTTGGAAGCCCTGCGACAGAATAGGACAGTTTCACACACAGAGCAAGAAATCGCAGCACTTTGCACAGAATGATTCAGGTGGCCTGACAGTCACTTTTCTAATAAGCAGATGTATCCCCTTTGGAAGGATGCGAAATCCCAATGAATGAGGAAATGAACGAGGCCCAAATCGTGAGTGTTGCCAGATCAGCATTTCCCCACCATTGGCAGGTTAGGCAACTGGTTCCCCACCTATCTCCCCATGACCTAGTGCCACAGAGATCTATGCAACAGTCACCTCCAGGTTGGACTACTGTAATGCACTCTATGCAGGGCTACCCTTGAGATTGACACAGAAACTCCAGTTAGACCAGAATGCAGCGGTGCATATCCTTACAGGAACACCATTGTGAGTGCATATACTACCAGTGCTTTGCCAGCTGCATGTGAACTGCTTTGTAGTGATAACGACGTGCCGTTACTTTCCCAGAGAATTGGCGCGTAGAACTGCTCCTTGTACCAGAGCGGGAATTATAATCATTGGCTAGAGCTATTATGAATTTCCTTTATACTACTTGCCTTTGTAGACTCACGTTATTCTAAACAGAGACCTGTTCAGTGACTCATGGCTTCAATAAAATAACCTTTTTCCTGAAAGCGATTCCGTTGATTCCTGTGGGACCTGACACTGCACTGGCTTCCAGTTGAGTACCAGGTCAAATTCAAGGCTTTGGTTCTAACCTTTAAAGCCCTACGCAGTCTGAAACATACCTTCAGGACTGTCTCTCCCAATATGTCCCTCAAAGAGTGCTACACTCTATGGGCCAACATCTGCTGGTAATCCCTGGCTCAAAGGAAGTCCACATGGCCTCAACCAGAGCCAGAACCTTTTCCGCTCTGGTGCCAGCTCGGTGGAACACTCTCCCAAGAGAGATATGGGCCCTGCAAGACCTAGGCCCCGGTCACACGGGCCGGATATCGCGGGGGGGGGGGGAGGCGTGGCTGTTTGCCCCGGAGCAAACTACCGCGCGGCCGGGGGATCATACGTCCCGCCGACGTCCCGTAGTTCGGGGGGAGGTGCCGATCATACCACAATCTGTAGCATGGCAAAGAAGCGGCGCGGCGCGATCACAGAGGTGCTGCCGCCGTGGCAAACGGGGTTGTGGGTTTTTTAAAAACCAAAGTGTGCGCATGCGCCATTGGGTGCTTGTGCGCATCCCATGGAAACTTGGGGGAAAAAAACCTTTTTGCCTTGGGACATGGGCGGGCTCTGGATGCCACGACCTACCATCGGAAACACGATCAGACGCCCGCCCTTGCCCCGCGCTTTACGGAAACTAGTATCTCGGAGGTACTAGTTTTTTACCCCGCATCTTCGGTTCGCCATGGGAGCTCTACGCTTCCCAGATGTGGCGGTGTGATCGCGCCCGGAAAATCCGCCTATCTTCCATCTCTGCAGCGTGGCTAATGCTCCATGTGACCGCAGCCCTAATGTAGTTTTACGGGGCCTGTAAAATGGAGATGTTACGCCAGGCCTATGGTTAAGGCAGTGGTGACTTATCAGTATTGGCTTCCCGCGGCGTGTTTCCATCTCGTATTGTTTTACTCATCTACCCGCCCCCCCGTATGATTAGTTACCATCTACTGTGCACAGATGTGAAATTGATGCGGGATTGGTGGTAGTCAGTGCTATAAATGATATCACATTTGGATTTTTATGTTAATCATCTCTCTATATAATAATACTGTTTTGGTCATGGACTCTCCTGAACATTCCACATGCTCCCAAATCAGTTGGCTTCCTGATCTGTCACTCAGAAGCTGTCCCTATCCACCGGCTGTGTTGCCTGAGTCTCACCTCCAATATTCTAAACAGTTTGCTGTTCGTCTCCCCCCAGTAGCCAGTCAGAACACAGAGGTCATTTGCATATGCGGCCTGTTTGGCCTTTGCCTCTAACATTCTAAACAGTTTGCTGTTGCGAGTCATAGAATGTGTCCTGACATATCCCAATTTTCCCTTAAATGGTCACTGGAGTTGCCAAAATACATATCCCAATCTTCCCTTAAACGGTCACTGGAGTTGCCAATCTCCCTGTGGGGCCTGGAGATCTCCCAGGAATCACCGTGTTCCCCAGCCACAGCACATCATTTCCCCTATAGAAAATTTCCCAGCTATTACAATGGCTGCTTTGGGCAGTGGACCTCAGCCTTGAGAGTTCAGTATGTGTTGCGAATGGAATACCTCCGTGCTGCCCACTCACAAGGCAGCAGCAATCATCCAAGATGTGCTGACCACTAAAAGGAACAGCACGCCAGGCTGACTGGTTTGTTTCCTCTTGGTTTCCCTTCATGGCAGAAATGGCAGAGGAGTCTCCTGAGGGGCATTTGGAGCGGAGCTGCCATATTGATTTCAGATGAAGTGCAAGAGATGAAGAGAGCAAAGAGATGTGTTTACTGGGCAAACCAGCAGCCTGGAAGAACTAAGGCTTCCAAACACCACCGGACTTCACGGGAAACGTTGCCGCTAATTACAGGCAAGAGAGGAAAAGCCCACTTCAGAGCCCCTTCCCAAGGCGGCAGATCGCACAGTACTTACCGTTTCACCTCTCTGCCCAGGGTGGCCAGGCAACCCGTCTTTCCCAGGGGGACCCTAAAGAAGAAAGGGGAATGCTGAAGAAAACCACAGGCGCCTCAGGAGTGATTCTGCAGGTGCCCAGGTGGCCAAGCTGAGAGCGGGGCTGGCTACACCACAGCTGGCCAGCTCCAAGGCACACAAAGTGCGTGTGCGTGTGTGTGTGTGTGGGGGGGATCTCCCTTCTGGCCATACTCACCGGAGGACCTTTTGGTCCAGGAAATCCCGTAGGTCCCTGAGGCCCTGGAGGACCCTGAAAAGTAAGCAGACGGAGGCATTGTTACCAGGTAAGGCTGGAGCAGTCTGCTTTCCTGGGGAGGCTGGAGAGGGATGGACGGATGAAGAACGTGGTCTACTTTTCCCTTCTGTGAGCCCCAGCAGTCCTAGAGGGGGAAGAGCCGTCCGGTCTCTAACAGCTCTGATTTTTAGAAATTTTAATTGGCTGTTCTTAAAGTGTTTTTTTTCTAATACCAATATCAGAATTTTCACTTAAACATTGGACTGCTTCTCCCTGAGTAGTTATTACTTATCCTACTTCATCACTTTGCTTATTTGTTCTAACCTCTGACCTCTCTCACCGCCTGTAATAAGTAGCTGCGCATTCTGTCGATTTACGGCTGGATCCACCAACAGCTCTGCCTCAGCTCCTGCCTTTTCCTCTCACACAGGTAATGCACATTCCACAGATGCCCCCCCCCCCAGCCCTCTCGGCTTCCTCTCCACCCCGCCCTTGTCATCTTCCCCATAAGAAGGATTCCCAGCAGGAGCTTCCTTCCAGATATCCGAGGAAGTGAAGCAAACGGCGACTCACAAAAGCTCACACTGAAACCAGTACTGGGCAGCCGCGTGGGTCTGAAGCAGCAGAACGAAGCCTGAGTCCAGTCAGGCACCTTGGAGACCAGCACAGTCTAATTCTGGGCAGGAGCTTTCGGGTGGGTGCAGCACTTCCGCAGAGAGACGGAAACAGACGTCCTCAAGCCTTACTGGTGTGACGACTGACTGAGGGCTCTTGACTCTAACTAGCCCTTCCTGGCAACTCCCCCCCCCACCCGTACGCAGGTCTTGAGGGAGTCTGTTTCCATGTCTCTGAAGAGGCCTCTGAATACACACGAAAGCTGATCCCCAAAATAAAACTTCGTTGGTCTTAAAGGTGCTGCTGAACTCAACCTGAAACCAATGTTGCTAGTCCTTAAGGTGCTGCTGGACGACTGTTAATTTTTTTGTCCAGGCCCACCTCCTGTTTGATGCAGGAAATCAAAAGCTGCAGCATCCCTGCCAGATGGCTGTCTAGCCACTGCTCCAGCAACAGCCGAGACTCAGGACCTCTCAGCAATGAAACCACAGAGAATGGGTTTCTCTCATGCCCTTGCATGAGAACACGAGACGTGCTTTACTTGATCGGCTCAAGGCCCCACCTGGTCCAGCATGCATTACAGGAATCGTTACAGAAACCCCGGGTGGCTCACTGGGAAGTGGCCATGGTCTTCTTGAGGTTCATGCTGCAAGCTGAGGACCAGCTTAGTTCCATGTTGCATCCTAAAGGTACAATCCCCACCCATCAAAAGCTCTGCCCCAGCCTGGTTTATCTTACCCTTTCGCCTGGAGGGCCCGGTGGACCATCCCCACCAGAGTTGCCCTTTAAAAAAGAAAGAAAGAAAAATTAAAACTCAGAATCACCAGCACCTCCAAGCTAAGAAAATCAATCTGGACTGATCACACAAAATGTGGGCAGGTCACTTCTTGACTGCTGGGAGCAAAGCAGAGGCTTTGTGCCTTCTCTCAAGTAGATCGGTCTTCTGTCACTTTTGCTGGGAGACAGCTCCTGCCAGCAGGGGTCCCCACCTGTGTCAGACAGGTGAACAGCCAGCCAGCCAGCAACAGCAGCTTCTGTCTCCCACCTGAGTCCATCTATGCTTACCAAATAAGGGGACCATTTCATGCACCCCGCAAAGGGGACCCCAGCCCTCACGTGCCAGTCTACATGCTGCGCTTTATGCTGACTCTTGCAGACTCCAGCAGTCACCGTCCGGGAGTGAACTGCTTTGCCTGATCATACCCTAGGGCTGTGTGTCCAGCAGCAGCCTGCCGCATGCCCCTGGAGGGCCCACAAGCATGAAACTTCACCCTCAACAGCTGGGATCCAGTGGCAGACTGCTGTTCTACATGGAGGTTCACGAAGCTGCTGTAGCTAATAACTATACTGCAGAATGCAGCTGTTCTATAGAACAGGCAATGCGGCTTGCTGAAAGAGGTCGGAAATTGGGGAAAGCAGCATCCGTCAAACCATGGAAAGATGCAGCAGACCTCAAAAAGCCTCTTCAGGCCTGCCGGAAAGATGCAGATGAGGCAGACCTCAAAAAGCCTCTTCAGGCCTGCAAACCCATCACAGACACAGAGCAAATTTAACACTGGGCAAGTGGCATTTCAGCCATCAAGTGTTTGTTCTTTCCCACCTTTCTGCCAAAGACACTATTAGTAGTACCACTGTGGGAATAACAACACTCAGTGTTCAATCAACAGTAACGTCATTCCCCCCCCCCCCCAGCATTTGTGAGCAGAGGAAAAACATCCAGTGTTTTGGGATATTTCCAGCAGAGGAAGAAGGTCCCAAAATGTGAATTTTTATCAAAATCTGCAGAGTGTTTAAGCCAGCAGAGCCTGGCACGGTGACATCACCCGCCGTCTCATCGGCCTTGGCACGGCAGGTGGCGTGCCAACAGGACACCCCAGAAGAGGCCACATCAGAGGCCTGAACAGGCTGCCAGGAACTGCCACCGATACCGTTCTGTGGATGGTTCTTGGCCTGTTCTGATTTTAGATGCTTCTCTCCTGCTAAACAAGCCAAACAGAAAGGAAACTGCCTCCCTGTCCAAAGCTCAGGAGTTCCAGGACGGGGCAGCAATGCCTTCAGCCCAGCCCTGACCTGGATAGCCCGATCTCGGAAGGCAAGCAGGGTCGACTCTGGCAAGTCCTTGGATGGGAGACCTCCTTGGAATACCAGAGCCAGGAGGCAGGGGCAGGCTCTATTCAGCCACCTCTCTGAATATCCTCCAGGCCCCCAGTAGGGGTCAGCCACCAGAGGTCGCCATGACTTCCAAGAGCACACACACACACACCCACTCCCATGCCTGCCACTCCACGCACACACACACAAAATACCCCCCCCCCAAGTGTATTAAAGAAAATACCTTCGGCCCCGGCTTGCCTGTGATGCCCCGCTGACCTCGTTCTCCTCGTGGACCCTTTGGGGAGAGAGGGAAGAGAGGCTCGTTATTGACGTCCCAGGCAACTACCCACCACTATGTGTCAATCTGGCAAAACAAGAAGGACAAGACAGCACTTGTTTACCGTTGGGCCGCGTTGGCCTCTTGGCCCCGGTTTGCCAGGGGTGCCCTGGAATCAGAGAGAGAAAGAAGTCAGGGAGTTCATTTCAAGAGGCACATTTATTTTGATTCCTCTCCCTGCCCCGACCCCCCAAGAACTTCAGGCAAGTAGAGACACACTCACAACACAAGAAGATCAAACCAACAAGATAAAATAAATGCAAATAATAATAATTAAAAATATAAGTTGAACTTGAGCTTGGACCAGACCACCACAACAAAGCAGAAAAATAAGGGGAAGGAGAGAAATATAACGTGTCACACACTACGTGAACAAGATGGCTGACTGTTAACATGTTGAAGAATGATTTAGATTCTCTGCATTCTTTTCAAGCCTGTATATTTAAATGGGAGTAGAAATCAAATGTAATGGTACTCTTCTTCTTTTGTCCTGATAGAGTTGTAGCATGCATGTGTGTGTGTGTGCGCGGGGGTGGGGGTGGAGGTGGGGTCACCAATGACCCCAGCGTTCGCTGTCTGTGTTGTGCAACCAGAGCTTGCTTTGCAGGGGATAGAGCATGCAAGGCCCCTGGATTTCTCTGGCGACAAGAGAAGCTCAGAGTTCAGCAAGTGTGCAAGGCGTGAAAGTACTAACAGATACTGGGGAGGGTGAGGGAAGAGAAGGACTGGAGAGAGGATATAATACTGTGGCCTTTTTTTAGGTGTGGAAAGAAGAGGACAGGCACCAGCCTTAATAGAATCATAGAATGTTAGAGCTGGAAGGGACCTTTCAGGTCATCTAGTCCAACCCCATGCACTCTGCAGGAGCAGAGCCGAAAGACAGTCCTACAAAATACCCGAAAGATGGTCGTCCAGCCTCCGCTTGAAAACGTCCAGCAAAGGCGCCTCCACCACCTCCCGAGGCAGCCTGTTCCACTGCTCACCCACTCTTACAGTTAGGAAGTGTCTCCTGATATTTAGCGGGTATCAACTCCCTTGTGATTTCCACCCATTAGATCTAGTCTTGCAATCCGAAGCAAGAGAGAATAGATCTGCTCCATCTTCTACATGACAGCCCTTCAGATACTTGAAGACTGCAATCATGTCCCCTCTAAGCCTTCTCTTTCCCAGGCTAAACATACACAACTCTTTCAGCCTTTCTTCATAAGACTTGGACTCCAACTCTCTCACCATCCTGGTTGCCCTCTTCTGGACACGCTCGAGCTTGTCAACATCCTTCCTAAAATGTGGTGCCCAAAACTGGACACAGTACTCCAGGTGAGGCCTGACCATAGCAGAATAG